TTAATTATATGTAGGTGCTGTACAGTCATTTAAAAAAGACCTATTTCTAGCATGTCCTTGTCCTTGACAACAACGTTACAGTTTGCAGTGGGAAAAAGAACCAAGATTCCACCCGACTGTGCCTCCGCCTACAGCCTACTTTGATATAAACAAGTCACCAAGATACCAAACAGGCAGTGTTACAAAAGTATCACTGCACCACAGCAAAATTGAACGTGACACATCTCACATGTAAGGCACCTTAAAGCAGTCTAATGCAGGCTCTGTATGTGAACTCAGTCCTTTATTAATAGTCCCTACTTTCAGATTAAAAAATGCTACTTAATAAATAATTAGCTAAGTGATATTGCATATTGTTTAAAGAAACAACAGTTTGCACATGAGCACAACAGTGAACTGCACGTGTGAACAGCCGTAAAATGTTTCAGTGAAAAACTAAAAATAGGAATCTGGCATTTGGATGAAAATGTGTTATTTGTGGAGACAACTTCCATTTTCCAAAATGTGTGGGAGTCATCTAGCCATCTGAGAAACTATTATTTTATTTATGCAAGACAGAGAACAGAGCAAATATCATTTGCAGCAATTGTACTGGAGAGCTCACAAAACATATTGCTTTCTGAAGGGCCCAATTAGAAGTTTGTTGATAAATCACTGCAGATCTTTGTTTTCTGTTTTTCCTCTGCAGTCATTAGTGTGAGTGTGAAGCCAAAAGTTGGGCTGGTAGAGCAATGAAAGGCTGGAAAAGTTGTGTTATCCTATTATTAACACGCGAGCAATGTGATTGAGTATTGGGTATGTAAAAGGACATTCATGAGGAAAGAATGAGTTTAGCAGTTTCAGGATAAAGTGTGATGCAAAACAGCAAAGAAATTTAAGGGTTTTCATGAATTACAGTATTCAAAATTCATATTTGAAATTCAGAACAGAACTCAGCACTGCGTTAAACCAAACAAGTTCACTCGTCAAAATAGTTGAAAGCAAGCAAACTTTTCATTTTACATTTTAGTTTTCCTCATTTTGGTGCTAGCAGATGCTAGAGCACATTTGCAGTAAACCATAGGAGTATGGAAAGCCAGAGATTTTCCATTTTTGTTTTGTAATACATGGAGAATGTGGACGGGTATTTTCTGGGCCAAATTAAAAGAAAAAAAAAGTTGTCATCTGGATGGCACCATACTTTGCCCCAAATCCTGGATTTATCATTCAGCATTAATGGGTGTGCTACCCATGCCGAGGGGCATTAATGCACCCCCCATACAATCATGAATGCTGCTTTAAAAATTTTCTTGCTTATAAATATGGGGTGTATAAAAGAGAATCATCTGATTTCAGCGATTTAATCCCACAGCTGAAGCACGTCCTCTTAGAAATAGGGGATTTGTGAGTTTCACGTGGTTGGCGGTAGGTAGCATAACAAGAACAGTGGCTGCACTGAAACTAGACATGCTACCAAAAGCATAGGGGAAGTTTGACTAGCTATCATGTCTGGATACATGCTGTGCACTCGGAGGGGGAGACATTGAGTATTTGTGAGCATTGTAAGTTTTGTACGCAAAAACCTTTAAAATACATACTTAATTATAATTAACCACAAGTTTCCATGTCCATTACTTAACATTGGAGGATGATTAATGGAAGAGTGTGCATGTTGCAAAATTTTTTGGGGGAGCTGCAGGTGTGACCTGGAAAGTTACCAAAGTGGTGGCAAGTTAAAGAAGGAAAGGAGGAAAGTATAATTGCTAAACATGAAGAATAATGAGAGAAATGTGCCTGTGTATTAACAAGTAATTATGTATTGAAAGTATGGGCGTTATCTATGGAAAGAAAAGTAAGAAAATGAAGTCGGTGAGGCAAAAAAGGCATAAAAAAGAGAGAGTGAGAGGCACATAATTACAGATGGCTGCAGTGGAATGTGACAGAGCCGGAGAATAAAAAAGAACAGGATAGAAAAGCAGAGCAAAGGGGCTCAAGGGAAAGCTGAAGGTGAGGCGATAATGAGAGGAGGCAAGAAAAAAAAGACAGATGAGGGGAAAAAAAACCTGTGTCAGAGAAAAAAGGAGAAACCCATTGATGAGATGAGGATTAGATGGTGCTGATTAATGATCATTGATTGTTTACCTCGGCATGTCTCTTTCTACTTCTGTGATTTCACTCGCCTGCCTGTCAGTCTCTTCTTTCTTTCTTTCTTTCTTTCTTTCTTTCTTTCTTTCTTTCTTTCTTTCTTTGGAACCTGCTGTGTGTCATAATGTCAGTACAACACTATGTTAAACAAAGTCCAGGAGGAAAAATCTCACATAAATATCCCAAATCCTTTCATTTCATGCCGCAGGGGAGCTGTTCATCGATCCCTCATCCTCTGCATGGCACCATAGACAAACATTTACTGCAGTCAGCGGCCAAAATTCAGCTCCACTGACTTTCACTTTTTATGGAGTTATTTTAAAGACACATGATCTCAAATCGAGTTAAAATGTGATGTTTACAACAATCTGGTATGAAATTGGTAGATATTCCATGGCTGGTTATTCTGTGTGTCACTGGAAGTTTGATTCATTTATTTATTCATTTATTTTGTTAAATGAAACCCATAACACCATATTTCAATGAAAATGGACATCAAACAAACATCCATTGTTCTGGTTAATTTCATATAACCAAAATAATAACTAGAAGAGCTATAATAAAAGCATTAAAAGAGGTTAACAAGCTTTCCTCATAGAAGCACATCAACCCCCAGCCCTTTCATGCCAATAGAACACCACACATTGCACCCTTGTGCACTTATATTTGTAAGTTTAATGTAATGGATTGCAATCTAGAAATGTTTCTACCTTGATTTATAACAACAGCCACATGGCAGGAGGTGACAGCAACAACAGAGAGAATAAAAAAAAGGGGGAATGCGCTTGATGGCAGACAGACACTGCAAGGAATGCTGTTGGAGAAAATGAGTTTTGTTCTCCGGAGGCTCAGAGAGAGAAAAAAATAAGAAGGGAAGAATGAAGGAAGGAAGGAAGAAAGAAAGATCGTTGTCTTGCTTGAGGCCTTGTTGGGTGTAGTTGTGAAAGGACGAGAGAGGATTTGTCATTCACATCCACTTCTCTCTCTTTATCTTGCTCTCTCACACACACACAGACACACTCACTTTGCCATCTGTTCCTCCTTGAGGAACAGTAAACCCAAATCTCCTCCAAAAAATGCAAAATGCAGCGATATGTCTCCACAGTTTATGTATGTGCATTGTGAGGAAGTTATATTCGTCTTGCTGGTGTCTGACGAGGCATTGCTGCTGAGCTGCAGCCAAAATACTCCATTTGACCTAGATCGTCTCTGAGCCCGGCTGGCGTATGCATGCGTGTGTGTTTATGTGTCTGTGCATCCTAGTTCTGTCTATTTCTCAGCAATAAAATGACTTTTGGACATTGTCCATAATGATATAAGCTTTCCCTGCCTCCCTGTCATCTGTCTCTCTGATAATCGTTGGTTTTGTGCCAGCTTTCACGGCAGTTCTCTTTTTTTATTTCTGTTTCTCTGACTTTAGTTTGATTTCCCATCACTCTGTTTCAAATTTTTTTCTTTTCTTCCATTCCTGCAAGGGAACTGGGAAACTTACAAAGTAAATGTCATCTACAGTGTCTGCGTGTGGATGTGCGAAAAAGGGTTTATTTGTTACAGTGACATAGTGCTGACCCTGTGCTTTACCTCTCAAGCTAAACCTGCAAACCCCTAAGTGTTTCCTGTATTTTGAGCTGTGAAGATATAATAAAACTCGAATGGCCCACTTTCCTCTGCGGTTGCTGTGAAAAGGTACCTTGGATTTTAAGCAAACCCAGACAATCCCACAATTTGACCCTTCTTCCCACCTTAGTGAAAGCGAGAAGAAGAATTTCCTCTTGACAGGAAGAGACCTTCAGCTGAACCACGCTCAGACATAAGCAGCCATTTACTGTGAACAGTCAGCGGAGAGAAGTTAGAGGCAATACAAAAACTGAAGGAGAGAGTAAACAAAATGAAATGATGTAGACTGAGTAGATGGGGCACATTTGGGAAGCTGACATAAGCTGTAAAAGACTGTACTGCAGTTTATTTGTTGGGATAACATCTGGTGAAGTCAAAAGCCTATAGTGGAGGAGTTTCTATGAGGATGTCAGTCATGGTTCTATTCGGCATTAAAAACACTGGAGCTTGGCGCCAGTTTAGCTCTGTGCACTAAAATGGTGGCCACATGCCGTACGGCTAAGAGCGGCCGGCCTGGGTTCGAGTCCAACCCACAGTCCTTTGCTGCATGTCTTCCCCCTCCTCTCTCTGCCCCTGCTTTCCTGGCCTCGCCTCACTGCGTCTGACAAATAAAGCTGAAAAAGGCCAAATAAATAAATAAATACGCAGGAGCTCAACTACGAGGGGAAATAAAGGACCAGTACAAGATTCATTAGAAGCTTCCTTGATAGCACATGTATATACAGTTAGATTTATACATTTTTGGGCAGTGAGACTTGCCTCTGTACACCACCACACTGGATTTTAAAATCAAACAATCAGGATGTAACTGTGCAGTGCAGAAATGGCCATTCTCTGTGTGATTTAATGGAATTAGATGACATGAAAAACTGTCCAAACTCCAAAGTGATCGTGGGAAATAACTCTGTGGTAGTATTGTGATAATATCAACTACTGACATTATTTTCATTTCTCCTAATATTTCTCCTGCAGTCTTGCATACTTGAGCTGCATTTTGGCTGTCTTGGCACAAAAAAAATGCACCAAATGTGGAGATACTGTACTCTACAAGAACTCCTCCTCTGCTTTTGTGCAGTATTGTGGTGTTCCTGCAGGGCCTTCTTGCTTGTCTGTTTTGATTTTGATGTTTGACGTTGGTCTTCTCTCATATTATTGACATCTGTTACCCAAAAATTAAATCCTGTTTGGATGTGAAAAAGTGGAGCACAGATAATTGGACTGAATTAATTCTAGTCATCATTTTATTTGTATCTCTGCAGTGATGGATGGGCGGACAGGTATGATGTGACAGATGGCTATGTTAAGGAAGCGGCCGGCGGGATTACCATCAAGCTCCAGTCGGCTGACGTGAAATGGTTTGATGAATACTACCTTAAACTTCGTCCTGAAAACAATCACAGAAACCCTTGGTTTCCAGAGTTCTGGCAGCATCGCTTTCAGTGTCGACTAAAAGGTCACACCCAGGAGAACAGCAAGTACAACCGCACCTGCAGCAGTAAGTACAGACAGAAATAGAAATACAGTCAAAAATAGACTGCCGTTATTGCACTTGAACATTTTTAATGGTAGAGTTACTATAGTTTACATTAGGTTTGTTATTGGTCAAGTCCCTTTACTCACATAAGGGATAACACCAGAAATTTACAGCTGTGCTTGAATACTGAAAGAAAAGAGAGGCTGTATTGTTGGCAGACAACATATATTGTTTTGAGTCTGCATAACAGGCCACAGTACCAATCTGCATTTCTTTTGATAGGTTTTTGTAATGGCTGCTGTTAATGCAAATAACAAACAAAGAGAATGTGTGAACACACAGTCACACACCTACACACAGACCACATGGATGCACAGAGCTTTCCGGTTCATCTGCAGCCATCTCGTGTGGCTGTGAGTGAACCCACCCTTTATTTTCAGCTTCTATCCGCCCCCATGTCTTTCTCTCTCTGTTCCTTTCCCCCCATTCATAGGCAAAACAGTGTGTGAGCGTAGCATCAAAGGGACCCGTGTCTCATGTATTCTAATGAAATGGGACATGAAATACAAATGAACAGGACACAGACAGAGACAGAAAGAAAATGAGACACGGAGGTGGAAAGTAACTGATGAGGAAGAGGAATGACAGCGGTCTTTGATGTTTGGCGGGGACAGTTTTTTCATAAAACCTAAAGGGGATATTAAGAGTTTCTCTGATATGTTTGCCTTTTTTCTACCTACTGTTCCTCACTAACCCAACTGTCCATTTCCCCCAACTCTACCCCTTCACCTCTGCAGAGCGAGAGTCACTTCGGCAGCAATATGCACAGGACACTAAGATGGGATTTGTCATTAACGCCATCTACTCAATGGCATATGGCCTGCATAACATGCAACGGTCACTCTGCCCAGGTTACAAGGTAGGTGCTGCTCTGGTGGATGAATAAGGAGGGGTACACTAAGACAATACTACAGACAAAATGAGGGTAATGAAGAGATGGAGAGGGAAAATAGCAGGACTTACAGAGCCTAAGTATTGATGCCATGGTACAGTTGCCACGCGGCCCATTTTTGACTTGTTATCACATTATGTAAGTTGGTATCCAAAAGTCTGGGAACACCAGTAAAGATCCTTCTCCAAGGTCTTGCTGAGATTTCTGAAAGGTTTCAGCAGTGCCTGTGGAGCAGTTACTTTACTATTTTCAGACTATTTTTTGAGCTCATTATCTGTGACAGCTGTTTTCCCCAAACATATATTTATTTCCGCTGCAAAAGTAAAACATGTTACAGGAGCTTTCACAAACTCCTGCAGGTTAAACTGGGCTGATCGAGCAGTTTCTATGGTGATTACATATAAGAGACTCTCAGCAAACTCACCAAAACAGACCACCAGCTTAGCAAGACTAATGGAAAAGGACGAAAGGATAAGAATTAGATGTAAAATGGTTACATTTTAGGTCCTGTCCTAGTTTGCATTTGGTATTTAAAGCTCTAAAGATTTGTGCAAATACATCCCATACTCTAACAGGTAAAGAAAATTAATTAATATATTAATTATTTCCTGTTTGCATCTCCACACACAGCACTGTGTTACTGTGATGAAGTTACTTTTTCATCTCTTAGCAAACAAAGCTTGTTGTGCTGATGTTCTGATGATGTCCTGATTGTGCTCTGAACAAGTCAAATGCCATACACCCCCTCTCAGACCTCAGGTCTAGCCATAATCTAATGCACACTTAGTCTTTCTTTGCTTACAATAACAGTTTGACGTCTGACGCTATCACTTAGTTCTGATGCCACGATTCCAACTTTCAGCACACTACTTAGTAAGCAATGTTTTGCTAGAAAATTGAGGCGCAGCTAATAAAAGGTGAAAAATGCAAGTGTATTTGCTTGAGCAAGCCTCTAGCTGTCATGTTTCAAAGAAAGGAAGGAACCGAACAAGGAAAGCTGACCTTTTTGTAAGATTTTATTTTGGGGCTCTTTTTAGGCTTTAGTTTTGACAGGACACTAAGTGGACAGGAGAGAAGGGAGGGAGACACTTGAACCAAGGCTCCTGCAGTAGTATTTCAGAATTTGGCACAGCAGCTCAAATTTGCGAGCTACATCACTACCCAAGAACTTTTTTTTAAAAAGAGGTTTACATGGAAATATAATAGACTTTGGACAACACTTTGCATTTATTCAGGAAAATGTAAATTAAAATGATGCCAAACACTGATAGTATATGTCAAACTTCATATTCACTTAGAAATTCAGAAAACAAAATGCTAAATTTTAAGTATAGAGCAGCACGATTCTGTATTTTTGGCACCAAACGCCGGTGCTGCTTCACCTCTACATACTTTGTGGGGATGACTTAAAATTCATTAATGCAAAAATGTCAACATGGGCTTAATTTTAACTAAACTTTATGAGATGATTGTGAAAATGTTGCACTGTTTGGCTTGCATAGAATAGGCACTGCATAGGAAACCATACTGCCACGCTGTCCTCACTTTTTCTAGAATGTGGCGAGCCGACTCACCTCAACAGCTGATTGGTTAAATTTTATCTTTACATTGTGTTGCTTCCAAAGTACAGTGAACATGTTTTGAGAATAATAATTAATTGAAAGGCCAGTTGTACACAATTTACTTCCATAAAATTATGGAAATTTATGTTGTTAAAGTTGATGGTCATAACTGTTTTTCTGGGTGCGACATGACCATCTATGTGTTTTAAGGGCCTGTGCGATGCCATGCGACCCATTGATGGGGCTAGACTTCTGGACTTTTTGATGAAAACCAACTTCACCGGTGTGTCAGGGGAAGGAATCTTATTTGATGAAAACGGAGACTCACCCGGCAGGTAGGTGCTTTAAACTGTGCAGAGACGTCATAGATCTCTATGGAGTGCAAACAACCTCCCACTGTTGTTCAATGTGCACCTTTTGTTTACAGGTATGAAATAATGAACTTCAAAAAGATGGGGAAGGACTACTATGACTACATAAACGTCGGCAGTTGGGACAACAGAGGCTTAAAAATAGATGATGATGAAATCTGGCCCAGCAAAGAGAGCGTGATCAAGTCAGTCTGCAGTGACCCCTGTGACAAAGGGCAGATTAAGGTAAGATGAGTAATTTTCACACAGTAGATTAAAATAACTGAATAATAAAATTATTAGTATGATGAGTGTTTGAGGAATTTTCATTATCATCACAAACTGATTTGTATCATGTTACGTTACCAGCCTACACCTCTTTCACCTCAGCCTGTATTCTACTTTTATACCAGACCTCTTTGCTCCTCCTACAGATCATTTATGTGACATGACTGAAAGTAAAGCTTCACATTAATACAGTGGCTTCGTTTGAACTCTGCTTATGGCGTGAGTGCGTATTCTGTCTCCTTCAGGTGATCCGTAAAGGTGAAGTGAGTTGCTGCTGGACGTGCACCCCCTGCAAAGAAAATGAATTTGTGTTTGATGAGTACACCTGCCAAGCCTGTGAGCTGGGCTCCTGGCCTAATAATGACCTCACAGGTCGGTATCATAAAAGATATAAAGAATATTCACATGATGGATTTTTTTTTTCTTAATACAGCCTGTCAGTGTGCATTACATATTAGCATTGCACAGGAAATCCTGCACAAGTTACCCTAGAGAGAGAAAGTGAGAGGCATCCATTTACCATACCCTCCTCTTCCCTCCTCCTAGTTTCTTCTTCTCCACTCCCGTTTCCTCCCAGCCACTCCCTCTCTCTCATATCGTTAATTTGTTACCAACATGGTCACTCGTGTTTTAATTATTCTGCAACGAGAGCGGCTTGCCATGCAAATACACTTCAGTTGCAATGAAAAATTTTTTCCTCTCCATTGCGTTCGAAGAGGTTGCATATTGCCTTGTTGTTCTTTCAGCTTCTCATTATACTGCACGCTAGCTCCTCACCAAGCTCAATGATTAAAACATGAATTGAGACCTGCTGAAAATTCAGAGGGAGCTTCTCTGTCTGAGACAGAAGAATCTTTAAAAACCGAAACAGGGAGTGAATCAGTGCGAAAATGATCAGCAGAAAGCTGACACTGGAGAAAGAAGATAAAGGAACGGAGGCTTAATTGGGGTTATCCGTGTGTTCGTTAGTGTTCGTGACTGTGGGCTCAGAGTGTGTGACTACATGCATGTGTCTCGTTTCATCAACAATAAGTGCTGCGTGTCCCCCTGCGGGGCTATATGGAACAGTAATAATGAGGTGTAAACAAACTGCTTGCCCTGTTCCACCAGCAGACATTTTGATCTTTCTCCTTGAGGCCAAAAGAAATCTGAGGGAAAAAAATATATAAGATATAAAGGGGAGGGGGGAAAAGGTAAAGGAGCAGAGGGAAAAGGTAAAGCAAGGTCTCAGCTGACAAGGACAGAAGCAAAGTGGGAGTGAAAACCATTGAAAGGATATGGAATAGTTTTTCAGACAGCAGTGGAACAAAAACAAGAAAAGACTGGAAGAGGAAAAAGACTTAAAAAATAAAGTCATGGTGAAAGTGGGATAGAGATGAATAGAGGCTCCATCATGAGCAGCAGCAGCAAGGGAGAGTGAAAGAAGGAGAAAAAGGGAGGATTAGCTATGGGATTTGAGCCTCTTCGCTGATTGGTAAAGTTCCACAGTCTGAGTCTGAGATTGTTTGAAAAACTTTATTGTGACTGCTCACTTCAAATGGTCACTCTTCCTTTCGTGCACCAGTTTGGTTTACACTCAAGCGTTGCAGCATTTCCTGCAGGTTCCATGAACTAACTAATTATCAAATTGCTGACTATGCAAATGCTTTCTGACTGCTCTGAGAAAGCCCACGAGGAGAAACACTGATCTGGGATTTCCCACCCAGCATCTAGATTAATTGGAGCTAAATTTCCACCCACCTCACGTTGTCATTAGTGGGTGGTCTTGAGCTTGTATGACTGGAAAAGACAGGTACTGTAGTTATTGTTTTTGAGTTTGTTTATTATGTGGAACAGCTGTATAGGTATAGATTTAACAGCATAAACATAACATCACAAATATTCTTAAGATGACAAAGAAACAGATACGGATACATTAAATTATTTTTAATTGTATTTCAGAAAGATTTTAATTTGTTTTCATTCCATTAATATTTCACTTTGGGCTTTTCAGTCATTTCAGTCTGAAAGTCCTGCCTGACTTTGCTTCTCTGTTTGTTTACTGGCCCTTTGGTTCCCATTTATGCTTTTGTTTACGCCCTTAGACCTAACCTCATTACTGATTTATTAAACTTTGTTAACCATGTTAAATACAAAGTTTATGGATTTCTTAAGTTATTTCTTTAATGATCTTTTTCTCTGTTTGCATGCAGAGAAAATGGAAGAAAAAAAGGTTAAAAAATAAAATATACAGGGGGCAGAAAGAGAATTAGAAAGAGACTATTTGCATTTCTTCCCTCTAAAGTATGTCTAGACTGACCAATAATTCAGCAAGCATTAAGACGGCTCGTAATTAGAACTGTCCCTTTAATTAATGACACTTTATCTCCTTGCCTATGAGGAAGACAGAGATGGAGGTAGAGAATTACAGGAGTAGGTGGGAGGTATGAGGATGAGGAGAGATGAGGAAGATATTCGGGGAAATAGAAGCGGGCAGAGTGATGGATGGATTATTACAAAGAAATGGTGAGCAACAGGAGACAGACAAGAAATGGTGAATGACAGGGAAGGAGGAAGAAAGACCAGGAGGATGGATAAGAAGAGGAAAGTGAAGTACAAAGACGTATTTGTAAAGTATTATTAGAAGTAGTATTCCAAATAGCAGTGAAGGAGGTGCAAGGGAAAAAATAAAACTGTAATTTGTGATAAATAAAGGTCCCATAGTTCAATAGTGGAGAGATTTCATACTGATAGTAATTAAACAGTCATCATCTCATTTGGGCACCTACACCAACAACCCCCTTCCTTCCTCCCTGTTTGCTTCTCATGCTTTTTATACTAAATCAGACCCACACCTGTATACAAAAGTTGCATACTTTGCAGGCAAAGCTCGGCACAACGGATAACTCGCAAGCGTTTCTTGCCTGGAGGTCTAACATGTACAACTCTAACCACGACCTGTGCAAGCTGTTGGCCCTTTAGAAAGCAACCGAAGACCAATTTTATTCAGAATGGTTAAAACTGGATATAAGGGAAAAAAAAGTGTGAGAATGAGCATAAAGTAAAGGCTGAACAATAGTTTGCTATTGTTACCTAAATCTTATTATCCATATATATTCCTGTGTGTCACATGTCAAATAAACTGATGATCAGTGAATGATCTTTTCTGAAAAAATACATTAACAAACTGATGTCCCCACGTCCCCAGGCTGTGACCCAATACCAGTGGAATACCTTCGATGGGGAGACCCTGAACCCATTGCTGCTGTGGTATTTGCCTGCCTCGGTCTAATGGCTACATTTTTTGTCACTGCAGTCTTTATTAGGTAACATATCCCTTTTATTTCTTAAAATCATTGGATTTTTGAAATTGTTTTCCTTCCTGTTTATTTAAATTCTTGCTTGCGTGTCTTTATGAATGTGGATATTCAGATTCCGGGACACTCCAGTCGTGAAATCTTCCAGTAGGGAACTGTGTTACATAATACTGGCAGGTATCTGTTTGGGATACCTGTGTACCTTTACCCTCATAGCCAAACCCCACGTCATCCATTGCTACCTCCAGCGACTGGGAATAGGCCTGTCACCTGCCATGAGCTACTCTGCACTTGTCACCAAGGTAAGGCCTGAGTGAAATGGTGGGTCCACAAGTTGTGAAAAGTGTGCAGTTAATGTGTTTTTCATTGATATGCCTGCATAATAACAGTGAGTGCTCTGTAGGAACGGAGAACGCAGATTGCAGCATATTCAGTATGTACTATATGTCCTGATGATGTTTGGAATCTGACCCCAGACAAACCGCATTGCTCGGATCCTGGCAGGAAGCAAGAAGAAGATCTGCACAAAGAAACCTCGCTTCATGTCTGCCTGTGCTCAGCTTATCATTGCCTTCCTCCTCATACTGCTACAGCTGGGCATCATTGTGGCTCTCTTCCTCATGGAGCCCCCGGAGGTAGGCTCTGTGTGTTTTAATAGAAAAAATATCATCAGAAGTAGGAGACAAATCAGAAGATTAATAAAATAAAACAAAATAAACAATAACCAGAGGATGTTAAGTTTGAAATATAACAGATTGCAGATTTGCCCTATTAGAAATTAGGAGAGTGTCTTATTGGATTTTTGTATTTTGAGTTCTGTTAAATGTGTTAAACTACTTCACCGGTTTCACATGTTTTTCACATTTGATTGTCAACAGAAATTTCACTGATTATAAATAATTGATTTGATTGGCAGATAAAAGGCAGTAAGAATTCAAACAAGACCAAAGCTTAAAATGTTAGTGTATACCCCTAAATGGATGTAGCCTAGCTGGATATTGAGACATCTACTTGTAAGTCTGTAGTTGTTCAATTTAAAATTTTCTGACAGCACATATAATTTGTAAAGTTGATTACCATCAAATTTGGTTCTTATCTGCTGAAATGCCTGAATTCATTTTCAATAAACCAATAAATATTGTACATCAGAAGTGGGCAGCATAATCATGAAATGTCAGTGAAATTACTTCCATAACTGTAATTTTACATGCCGCCATTGACTTACTACGGTCAATTCTTATTTGTATTAAAGACGTGACAGCAACAGTGTTGTCACACTTTGGATAACACGCATGTCACATTTCCTCTGGTGTCTGCAGGTCATCCACGACTATCCCAGCATCCGCCAGGTCAACCTCATTTGCAACACCACGAACCTCGGCGTGGTTGCCCCGCTGGGATACAACGGCCTGCTTATCCTTAGCTGCACCTTTTATGCCTTCAAGGTACGAGATAGTGTTTGTCACTTTTTCCCATTACCACTTCGATATCAAAAATACCTGTGACAATTTTGCATTATTTCTATAACACAGTATCGAACACGACTGAAACATGTTGTTACAACTGGCAAAGCTGCCAGTTAGAGAACTCTAAACGCTGTTGACATGCAATAAAAGTTCAGTGTGTTGTTATCCGTAGAGATACTCTGTATGAGTGTCTCTACATATGAGGAGGTTTACACAGACATAATGTGAAAAAAAAAAGATTAAGCCACTGTGGTTTTGCCTCTCTAAAATTTTTTGCCGGCAGTAAATGAAATTATGTTACCCCAATCAAATTATAAAGTCAATGTTGTGATTATCCATGACCAGCGGCCATCCATTTTCTGCGGAGTATGAGAGCAGAATTGTAAAAAGAGACAGAAGATAAATGCACTGCACTTCAAACAAATAAATTAACCGAGTTTTAAACACAGCAGCTGAGTAAACCAATTTAACTTTGCAGGCCAAATGCCTCACCTAATTCACTCGCACAGATCGGTGTGGCCAGCAATAAAATGACAACTGTAAGGGGTTAAGAGTGTGTATCGCTGTATATACTGTAAAGAATGTCTACATTTGCTTTATTTTTCTTGATCACAGCGAAATGCACAACAGCAATTGTGAAGGGAAATGAAGGAATGTTTACTTATGCTTCTCTTTCTTTTTCCCTCCAAGACCCGCAACGTCCCAGCTAATTTCAATGAGGCTAAGTACATTGCCTTTACAATGTACACCACCTGTATTATCTGGCTGGCATTTGTACCCATCTACTTTGGCTCTAACTACAAAATTATCACCATGTGCTTCAGTGTCAGCCTGAGTGCCACTGTGGCTCTGTGCTGCATGTTTGTACCCAAGGTAAGGTTGCTTTGCTTAAATTGCTTTTTATTTCATTCTGATTGCTTGTCTGTTGTTTTTATGAATATTACCTGAATCCGACTATAGTTGTTATCTAAATCTGTGCATAAACTACATTAAGCTTCAAATGACCATTGCAACAGAGCTCACTGTAGTTCCCCACCAGTTGTGAGAATTTGAGTCAAATATTTGAATAGATAAATGCTAAGATTCAAGAGAACATCTCTTTTGATATTTTAATCACAGATGTTTCAGCACTTGTAATATCAGGATCTAGATTTTCTCGTACAGTGTCACTACAGTAAAAAAAAAAAAAAAAGCCTAAACAAGAAATTCAGTCAATCAAAAATACTTAGCAGAAGCTTCTTTTGAGAATTTTCTTTTTATAATATGTTTAGAATATTAAGGTGAGTCATGAGAGGCTTGATTATTATTCTAAAAAAAAGATTAAAAGACCAATTTGTGTAGCCAACGCAATCAAAGTCTCTCCAGAAATTTGCATAGTGCCGTTAATCTTTGCAGTAAATGACAACAAGTAGTCACTGTTCATATCTAACCGTTTCCATCAGGTGTACATCATTCTGGCTAAACCAGAGCGTAATGTGCGTAGTGCCTTCACCACTAGCACGGTGGTGCGCATGCATGTGGGTGATGGCAAATCATCCTCAGCTGCCAGCCGCTCCTCCAGTCTGGTTAACCTGTGGAAACGGAGAGGCTCCACTGGAGAGACACTCAGGTATTTCTGCGTGTGTGGATTGTGTGTACCCAAGAGGCTTGTTGACCAGGTTAATGCCGGGTTGCTCTTCCGTTATATTCCAAGGCACCATTTCTCCAATAGCGCACTCTGAGACTATTTATGGTGTGTGCATGTACGTGTGTGTCGGTGTGTTTAAGCTCTCTAAGAGATTGATTCTCTGAACTCCATCGAGTCTGCCTGACTGTTCTTCTGACCCTGACATGAACTGCAGACAATTGCCTAATGGAGATGCAGCAAAGGAAGAGATTGGAATGAACTGAAGAAGGGTTAAGGAAAATACTAAAAAGAGATTATAAATGGAGAAGAAGATGCATAGAGAGAGAAAGAGAGATGAAGAGGGGAAGTGATAAGAAAGAAGAAAAGAAAAGGGTAAAGGAGTAGTTTGATCAAAGAGACATAATAGCTTTCACACCCTGCTTAAGGCCATCCACAAGTCATCTACAGTGACAAGGAACCGATCAAAAGACACAAAGGGAGTGACGCAAAGCCACTTGCCCGAAATGAAAAGGGGAGAAAAAATAGACAAGGAATATTTTTGTTTGTCAGCAGGTTCCTCCAGCACACCCGGCTTGGCAAGCAAGATTTCAATCACACTCTTATATGAAATGTCACAAGTGTTTCCTTCTTCATTCGCTTTACTTTGCTCTTCCCCTTTTCTCTTATGGTCCTGTCATCCTCTGTGGGCGGTGATAATTGGCAGAGGGCTGTCTGTCTCTTCAGTGCAGGGCTGGAAACTGTTGCCTTTGAGGTGCTGTCATTGTGTAAACTGAACAGACACATACAGACATGAGTCCAGCAAACCCGAGGAAACAGAAAAGACATGTTTGACTGATGTCTGAACTGTGGAAAAATACTGGATTTACCTTCAGGACATTCTCAGAAATTAAGGGAGTAAACAGACCTTAACAGGGTTCATCGACTTGTCCCCATACATGAATCAGTTTTGTTTTCTGGTGGAAACTTTTATAAATGTTCTACCTGGAATCTTTTCAGTGGGTTCTGATAAATAGTGATAAACCTGAAATCTTCAGTGAAAGGTTTAAAGTTTGGAAACCAAACATTAAAAGTAAGAAACAAATGTGATTTGAATTTTGCTCGTCTCATTTTAAAAATTGGCTCCCTTACATCACAGGGAGCCAAATCTGGCAGTGGCAAGCAGCAAGTGTGTTGTGTGGTCAAACTATTCCTGCCTTGTTCATTGCACTGAGAGCAGGTGCATGATGGCTTGTGGTGTTATGTGCCAAATGTTCTTCCTCGGATGCCCACAGATATCACAGTAGTAATATGTGTGGTGAAAGTGACTGTAGTCAAATTCAAGGTGATTATCCAACAAAAAGAAGATGAGTACATTCTAGGATGTGGTCTTTATCTGTGCCCTTTCTTTGGAGGCTTGGACACAATGGACTATTCCAATATAAACTGCTGTTACCTCTGTGGGTAGTGTGAGACCCAGCTCTCATCAACAAGCTGATTCCTTCATAAAAACAAAAAAGTCAGTTTCAGATAAAAGTTGATGTTTGCCTCTCAATCTGTAATTTAGATTTAAATAAAATCTAAATTACCTTAATTCTGTGAAATTTCTTATCTTTCGTAACTTCTGTCCAGCCTTTACAGTTTTTTACAGACACTAGGACACATTTCTCATACTTAGGTCACGTTTGCAAAACTCCTCACACAGTGAGCACAACAGAAGTCTATGTGGGCTAAACTGAGGACCAGTTATCATTGTTTTGGCACAAATGCATCCAATGACTACATCTCTCAAATTTCATGAATTATTTCTCACTCAGACACAACAACTGCCAAAAATCTTTGTACGGACAGGACATTTTGCATGTGCTTACATACTGTTTTCAAAACTGTTAAACTTATGGCCAAACAATAACACAATGCAAAATTTAAAAAGACAGCAAAATTCAACAGCAATATTTTATTGAAACATATTTTAAATCTAAAATGCAGTTTAACCAGCCACAGCTGATTCTCATTGTAGATGAACATCTACACAGGTGTTACTCCTTCAATTTTTCAACTCCTTCAATCCTGGCATGCCAGAAGATCTTTCCTAGGTGTATTGCCCTAGATGACATAAGATGTGAGTGGATGAGAACCTGTGGCCCAAATGGAGAGACCGAGTAGATTAGCATTACTATTGTATGTGGTATCAGTGGATGGTGTGTATACAAATTCTTGTATTTTGGGATTACTTAGTGCAAAAAAATAAAAATACATAAACAAATATTACAGTTTTTTCTGATTGCTTAAGCACATTTTTTGTAATTATTGGCTAATTTTGCAAAACTCTTCACACAAATAAGAAAACCTGTCACCCAATATCAAAACATTGTAGTTCTCTTGCAAAAGCAAACACAGCTGGATTAACTCTTCACACCTTCGTAAAAATGGTGTTTCCGTATCAAACAGTACACACAAGCCATCATCTACTAAGCACACAATGCGCCAACTGCACACTGATGGTATGAATACAAAACACATCTGGCTTTTGCTTTCTCTGTGCACAAGGTAGGCTATGTCAGTTTGAGCTCATACTTCTGTCATAGATCCATAAGCATAGAGGGATCCAAACTTCAAGTACATCAAAACAAACACAAGTGTTTATTTCCAAGTATAGGATAATTTGCAATCGCCATAATGACTATATGGGTTACTTGGTCTGCAGTGAACATGCTTCCTCTGCCCCAGCATCTGGTCATCTAGCAATTCTGTAAAGTAACAATTTCAGTATTTTACATCAATGGTATTGGTGTGTTTCTCATTGGCATATGGCAGTGCTACAAATCTTTGTGCAAAGTGACTGTACTAACCGATTCTCATTTCAAGTCCTTATGATACTTGCTACAGTGTAGCGGCTCGAGTTAGGCTGGACCCGTTGGCCAGCTACCCTCAGGGTCATCACGGTGATTACATGGTCCACTATTGTAGCTCTGATGTCATCAGCAATTCTATTTCTTACTCTTCCTACCCTTCCTCTCCCCCTCCTCATCTTCCTCTCCCCCCTCCTCGTCTTCCTCTTGCTCCTCCTTGTCC